CAGAGAAGTGGGGTTTCCACAGCCAACTGTAACCATGGTAACAGAGAGGTGGACCTTTTACACCGTGTCATAACAGCAGACACAGATGTGCTGGTGCTGGTGACCTTAAGAAACCCCTACTGTTAAGGTGTTGAAGTGTGAATTGTCAAATCTACATATGTATGTGTATCTTATCTCACTCAGCCTTATAACCTGAACCCCTCACTTACTGCTCTTTGAATTGAGAAAGCTCCTCGGATGAGGAGCGAAACATCTTCTGTTACAAATAAAGTCCAGTTGTTTTTGTATTGAACGTTTTTTGAATGCAGACACAGAAGAAGTCATTTGCAGCTTACCTCCAAGACGTGTTTCTTGGAGGACTTGTCTTTGGTGGCCCACTGTATCGATGATCCTCGCAGGTCAACGGTGTACTCTGGAACAATCTGTGAAGCTTTGCTCTGAGGAAGACAAGTCGTCATCAGCATCATCTTTATCACTTTTATCATGACACCCTCATGTGAGACAATCACTTTTAATCTTCTGTCTTCAATGTTCAAACTACAATAGTTAAATGTGGTTTATTACAGAAACTTTTAATAACTCATTTCAATTTCAGCTACCCCCCGGTCCTAACCCGGTCCTGAGCTAGTTCTGATCTAATCCTGATCCAGTCCTGAACCAGACTCGTATACCAGGTTGTTTTTGTATTGTCCTTTCAATGATTCAGAATTTCCTGTAATCTTTGGATCGACAAGGCTTTCAGGGGTTTATGTTTTTTATTTTTTTTATTTACTTCGGCTGTTTTTTCACCCAGTTTCAGTCTTTTTTCCTGAACATTTTCAGAGGAGTGTTTTTTCTTTGAGCTCTGTCAGACAGAAAACAACTCGTCAACTCAAGGGATGAAGCGGAGTTGTGTCGGCAGAAGGAAGCAGTTTAATGTGGACCTTTAGTCTCTTTTTTCCCAGCAGCCTGTCTCAGAGACAAACTTTGGTCCCGTTTCTTTAGCTGAACCCATAAAAACATCAAAGATCCACAGGTTGACAGGAAGCAGGATGGAGATCCCCAAAGAGCTGTTAGCAGCTCTCAGAGTTTAGCTTGGAATGAAAACATAAAAAATAGACCTGATCAGGATTTTACTGAAGGACTGTAAAACTGTTCACGTTCCTAGAAGATACAAACTGAAAACAGAGACATCATCTTCAGGACCTCTGCAGGCCTGACTGAGGATGTGGAACCCGGTCCTTACAAGATTCCCAGCTGGAGCAGATTTGGGGTCTTTGAAAAATGTGAGAATCCCTCCATGGAGGACGGTCCAAGACTGACTCCAGTTCTTCCTGTCCAACAGAAACACCAAACGCCAGAAACCATCACAGAAAAGTCTTCCATCAGCAGGACTGGGAGGTTTGGCCTCGATAAAGACCTCTGAGACAAACCGAGAGCTCACCTGATCTTCTTGCTGTTGTCAGCCACCTTGGTCTTGTTGATGATTCCCGCCTTCTCCTGCAGGTGTCCCTGCAGAGACACGGAGACACAGCTGAGTCTTCAGGTCCACTCTGAAATGTGACTCCGGTGTAAACACGGGAGTGGTGAGAGTCTCCCTCAGGCTTTTATCAGCCTTTATTCATCAGTCGTTCCACCTGGAATCATTTTCCAGGAAATCAGAACTTGGAACAATTAGTTAATTGGACCTAGAACCTGCCAACGGACACAGAACCTCCTGAAAGACTTCTAAATATTTAAAATAAAGTTTTCACAGTCTCTGTCTTCTGCAGAAAACCATCTTTGTTCTCATGGAACAAATACATTGGTCTGAAAACCATTAAACTCTGTTTGGGTCTTCCTGCAGGGAACTTTAGAGCCGCGTGGCTGATTTAAAGTTAATAAAGTATTTTTACTGACTCATCTCTGAAGAAAACTCTGTACTTTATTTTTGCCTTGTTATATATTCATTCTAACAGGAGTCTAACATTAACAATACAGAACGAGCTGATGGGATTTTTTTTAATTCAGTTACAGATTTTAAAGAGTTTAGGGGTTTGTTTTTTGTTTCAAAATATTTTAGATGTTTAGTTTTGATGGCTTATCGAGGGCATTTGTTGCTGTTGTGTCAGATGAAGTGTCTTAAATTGTGACGTAAATGAATTGTAATGTCTGTACGCAAATGTGTATGATCTTCAAGTGAAGTAAAAAAAAAAAAGATCTTGTAGAGCATTTGACCTTGATTTGTGATCTTGACCTTAGCACTGCGGTGAAGAAGTGTAGGCGACACCATCTAGTGATGATTCTTATGGGTGTATGGACAGAGATTATACCAAAATACTGATCAGTATTACCATAATGTACTATAGTAATGATCAGGTTCAAATGTATTCGATTTGTCACCTTCAGATTGTTGTAAAAAATAAAATTATATCAGGGACAAAATAAAAGGTTTAACCTGGAGGTCTGAGTTCTTTATGATGAAGAGTCTCATTCAGGAGAAGTTCACATTTACACATTTTATTTATTTATAGTGTCTTCAGTGTGCTTCTAACCATGAGCCATGTACACGTAAGTGTCTTCACATGTCCGCGTATGGGGACGTGTTAAAGACGTCCAACATACGTGTCCACGTGTGTCCAGGTGAACTGTTAAAACCGTCTCCGCAGGGGTTCAGAGGTGGTTCTGTTGTTTTTGTTTGGACCAAACTGCTGAACGTTGGAGACACTCAGACTGTTTGACTGCAAACAGACGGGTCAGAACAACAGATCCAACACCTGAACCTGACCAGAACTTCAGAACCATTTAGTAGCACGACAAACAGTGACCGGTGAGTGATTAGTAGGGTTAGAGGATGAACACTCGGGAACGTTCTGGGCAAAAGTCCCAGAAGTGGAACATTTTGTGACCCAGTTTTTACTCAGCGGGTCGCAGAACTTCTGTCAGTAAAACTCTTTAAACTGAAGCTGAGACACCGGCAGGTGATCGGCCCAGAAAGTTCCTTTCAGGTAACAAATGTTAAAACAAAAGGTTAGTAAGAGCACCATCAATCCAGACCCACAACCATCAGAACCTACATGCAGCTGGTTGAAGCCTGTGCTCTGATTGGACAGATTCCTCCTCAGCTTGGACCTGTTAGGGGACTGGATGGAGGGAGAACAGGTGATGATGAATGAACGAGTCAGCAAATGAGTCAGCAAATGAGTCAGCAAATGAGTCAGCAAATGAGTCAGTGAGTCAAAAAATTATTTAGTGAGTCAGCAAAATGATTCAGTGAGTCAGAAAATGATTCAGTGAATCAGCAAATTGTTCAGTGAGTCAGCAAATGTTTCAATGAATCAGCAAATGGCTCAGTGAGTCAGCAAATAGTTCTGTGAATCAGCAAATGTTTCAATGAGTCAGCAAATGATTAAGTGAGTCAGAAAATAGTTCAGTGAGTCAGAAAATAGTTCAGTGAGTTAAAAAATTATTCAATGAGTCAGCAAATGAATAGTTCAGCGAGTCAGCAAATAGTTCAGTGAATCAGCAAATGTTTCAATGAGTCAGCAAATGGCTCAGGGAGTCAGCAAATAGTTCTGTGAATCAGCACATGTTTCAATGAATCAGCAAATGGCTCAGGGAATCAGCAAATAGTTCTGTGAATCAGCACATGTTTCAATGAATCAGCAAATTATTCAGTGAGTCAGCAAATAGTTCAGTGAGTCAGAAAATAGTTCAGTGAGTCAAAAAATGATTCAATGAGTCAGCAAATGAATAGTTCAATGAGTCAGCAAATAGTTCAGTGAATCAGCAAATGTTTCAATGAGTCAGCAAATGATGAAGTAAGCCAGCAAATAGTTCAGTAAGTCAGCAAAAGTTTAAATGAGTCAGCAAATGATTAAGTGAGTCAACAAATAGTTCAGTGAGTCAGCAAATGATTCAATGAACAAATTAATGAGTCAGAAAATTCATGTGAATGACTGAATGAGCATGAAAACTGAATAAATGGACGAGTCAATCGTTTCGGAGACAGCAGGTCTCAGGTGAGTGTTTACCTGTGGACTGTCGGGGGAGGGTTTTCTGGTTGGCTCCGTGAAGTCTGAGGCGATCCTCCTGTGTCCAGGAGTAAACATCTGGAACACATCAGGATTGTTACAAATCTGTTGTTTTATTTTCAGAAGATTTATTTAGTTTGACCCACATCTCTGGTTCCTCACCTTCAGTGGTGCTCCATCCTCTGAAACTCCATTTCCCATCAGCCTTTGCTGCAGAAAAAAAGTAAACAAATCAGCTTCTGACAGATTCAATTTCAGCCTGAATTGTTTTTTATAATTAAATTTAACAAATAAGATCTTCAAACAAAAACAAGTTTTAAAATGTATAATAGAATTCATTTTTAATTTTCTTTTTTTTTTTTTTTTTTTTTTTTATTTTTTCCCTCTTCAGATGTCTCCACAGTGAGTCCTCCTCCTCCACCTCACTCTGTCCTCTGTGTCCTCTGTCCTCACTCCATCTACCTCCATGTCCTCTCTAACTGCATCCAAATATCTCCTCTCTGTCTTTTCCCTGACAGCTGCATTTCTAACATCCTTCTACCAATATGCCCACCGTCCCTCCTCTGGACATGTCCAAACCAATGTCCCTCCTCTGAACATGTCCTAATCAATGTCCCTCCTCTGGTCATGTCCAAACCACTGTCTTTCCTCTGGACATGTTCAAACCACTGTCCCTCCTCTGGACATGTCCAAACCATCTCAGTCTGGTTTCTCTAACTTTATGTCTCAGTTCTTTAACCTGTGCTGTACCTCTGATGAGCTCATTCCTAATCTTATCCATCCTTGTCACTCCTAAGGAGAACCTCAACATCTTCATTTGTGCCACTTCCAGTTCTGTCTCCTGTTTTTTTGTCCATGTCTCTGTCTCCAGACAATACAACATAGCTGGTCTCACCACTGTCTTGGAAACTTTTCCTTTGACCTTTGCTGACACCTTTTTTCACAAAGCACTCCTGAATCTTTTCTCCATCCACTCCATCCTGCCTGGACCCTTTTTCACCTCTTTATCACACTCCCCAATTTCCTGGACAGTGGACCCCATGTCCATGGACCCCATTGAAGTCCTGCACCTTTGTGAACTCTGCTCCTTGTAGCCACCTCAACTGGCTCCTCTCGACGTGGAGAAGCAGCGGCTCTACTCTGAGTCCCTCCCGGATGATCGAGCTTCTCACCCTATCGCTAAGGGAGAGCCCAGACACCCTGCGGAGAAAACTCATTTCGGCCGCTTGTATCCGAGATCTCATTCTTTCGGTCACAACCCAAAGCTCGTGACCATAGATGAGGGTAGGAATGTAGATCGATCGGTAAATTGAGAGCTTCGCCTTTTGACTCAGCTCTCTCTTCACCACGACAGACCTGTACAGCGCCTGCTTCACTGCAGACGCTGCACGTATCCGCCTATCGATCTCACGCTCCATTTTTCCCTCATT